TTTCATGAGCTGTCAGAAATTCAAATTTGTTCTAAATTTTACGTAACAAGATTTTTTTGTTCGTGAAAGCCTGGACAAAATTGCACAATATAAGAAAAACAGATTTTTCAATTTCGACTTTGTTTCAGAGGAACCTGCAGATGTTTGGGTTACAACAGTTAACAATTTTGGGCTTTCAACCCGAAATATTCGTAGAGGATAGCCAAACATTTTTATCATAACCTGTTCACATTATGAACTTTAGTTCTTAAAAGTTTCGTTCAAATCCGTTAGAAAAAAATGTGTAGAGAGGATCCTTAAATCAACACACCACTCTGTTAAAAAGAGTTTTGTTCAACGAAACGAGTCCCCGTCAGAGAAAAGTTATTTAATAAATGTTCTTCGAGTACGAAAAAACACCCAGTCAAGAGAAAATTAATTTCTGGAGAAACAATAGGCTTCTGGATAGCTGCAATCGGAAAAAAATATGCTTTTATGTCGACAGACATTATCCGATTGCTCGGAGTTTTTTCTTTCTTTTTTTTTTGCTTAGTCACATTTTTTGAAAAATGCGCACGCAGTGATGTAGAGAACTTCTAGAAACGCGAAATGGTTCTCCAGGTACTGCAGATTATGACTGTTGAGCGTTCTTTTTCCAAAATCTAAGAGACTAAGACCGTTTTCTTCACGAAAAGTGAAATGTGCGCTAGATCGGGCACCAAAGGATGCAAAAGTGGAAAAAAATTTGTGCTTATGGCTTAGAACTTTATCATATATTCATTAACAGCTTATTGTCAGACGCCCCTGACAACAAGCACCTGACTCAGGCGCCATTTGGTCACGGGTTATTCAGATACAATATCTATGGATGTGTGATTGATATTACAAATGAGTCATTGCGATTTGTTTGTTTTTTAATCTTTTTTCTCCTTTTCCCTTATATATAGTAGTTCGATATAATCTCTGGAACAGACAATCTTTGAAAATGGTCATCCATCTCAACGACAGCTTTAGACAGAAAATCAGCCTGACATATAGTTCTTTTGCCCAATCAGTTAAACTGTCTATATACACTTGCTAATCATGTACTAGTTGTCTGGTAAACCAGAGAAACTGTGATTGTACGTTACAATGTAGAAGCAAATATGTCTCAGACAAGTGATTCGAGGTGCATGGACAGAAGAAACTTGTTGCTAGTGTGTGACTGTCTATCGTTGATGTCCGAACGCACATAGTACCAGTTACTAATTTGACACGTGCATTATCTGCTTCCACGCCATTCCAACTTATTTATATAGTCGAACATTCGATAATTGAAATTGAACGGTCACATTTCGATTCAATGAAATTATAGCCATATTTGTCGATTTCCATTTTTTGGCGAATAGGAAATTAAACGTATAAAATAAATTAGACTAGTTAACTAATAAGCAACAATGTTCACTTGGCCAATGCATTATTTCATTACTCAGCATACTTATGCTTCTTCCGACTTTCGAGTGTACACGTCTATTAGGAATTGAGAAAATAAAACACACACAAGGAAATTCATAAATTAAATTACATGTCAAAAGTTTCAGTGATTGTTGAGATCGGAATTTGATTACTGTGAAAATGGTTTTAAGAGAGAAAAAAAACAACAACATCAATAATAGAGACAAAAAACGGAATGAGGTAGAAAATATATATCGTTAAGTATTTTAGCTCAATATGATAAGAGATGAGTGTTTTTACTGGACGAAATGCAATATTATTTGTCATACTCATTAATATTATCCTGCAACATTTGAATTTTCATAGAAATTGCAGGTCTAGTACATTGTGAAGAGCCGTCAAATGTTGATGTTGATTTATGCGCCAAAATGGCCATGATAACTAGAATATTGAAAAGAAATTGATAAGAAAATTTCTACACAGTCAATATTTTCAACTTAAACGTTCGTAGACTCATTATTATTGTAGGCAGTTCTATTGAAAGGCCAGGAGTCTTTTGTTAGAATTGAAATGACTCTATTAAAAGTTAGAGCGATTGAACGATGGTTCTTGCTTCGTAACAAGGACTTATGATATCATTTATTCTAACATACCTGTTTTGCTGCTAATTCTTTATCCCGCCCATCACCAATCACCACATATGTTGCCTTTCGTCCAAAACGAGTATTAATTTGTTCAAAATAACTTTCTTTACCTATCATTTTAAAAATAATTAGTTTAACTGTTACGTAACAAAAATAGTTCTCATATCAATTTTTATTGCACTGTAAATATTTTCAATGTTGAAAACTTCATTCAAATCATACAAAATAGCTTTAGACAATGTTGACACAAGTTGAATAGTTGTCACTAATACATTCACACAATGTGTGTTTTCTTTTCAGAAATTTTCTATAACGAAATGCTAATTTTCTCATCCAGTCGATACTCCCTCGTATTGTACTACTGATACACGGGTTAACAATATTTGTTGAAGAATGAAGCCATCGGCGATAAAATTATAGGTGTTGAAATAACGCAAATAAATGAAAATTAAATTCAAAACGAAAGTATTAATCTGTACCTCAGATCTTCTCCATTATTGTCTGATGAACTTGATCATCGTCAATATGAACTTGATCGCATTCCTAAGAAAACTGAAAGTCAAATAAAAATGTTGTTCAATTTTTATAATAGATATACCTCAAGATCATTGAAAAATAAATTTGAATCGGCAAGATTAAATATCATTTCCTCAATACGTAAATCGAGTGTAACTATTGAATGAGCATCCTATCAAATTTTGAAAGAAATATTTAGTGAGTAAAAAACAATAACAAGAGAAATTAATGTTTTTACTTCAACTGTCAGAAAGAATTTTCTCACTTTCTAATATCGTTGTGCATATGTTCCAGTTAATAATAAATGAAATATAATAATTGTTTCAACTAAATCCCATACAAATACAAGCTCAATATTATTTTCTCAATCTGATGATGGGTGATTTTTTCAACCAAGATTACTTTTTGATTTTAATGCTAAAATTTTAAGCAATAAAATAATATTTTATTTGAATTAGAAAATATTTAGAACTTACAGCGAGTACTTGTGTCTGTTTTTGAAGATGATGATGGTGAAATGGATGACAAATTTGAAAATTGATTTAAATCTAAATAAAAGTTAATAAATATAGAAGTATTTGTATTAGTTAGATGAAGATATTGCAGCTGCAGAAGCAATATTATATGGCAAGGCGTATGGTGATGAGGATGTATCACATGGATAATTGAGAGATGTTGTTTGTGGATAAGGATAATAGCCATTTTCAATACCCTTTAATATTCAACAGGAATTAGTACGAGTTATCATGACGCTTATTTTACTACTTACAGATTGGGATGTGTAAGCAGAAGTAACTGATAACGGACTGTTAGGTGAAACAGCTGCTGTACTCGGAAATGCTAAGAAAAAAAGAAAAAACAAGTTTAAGTACATGTTTTTGCACGAATATTGTAAATTAAATCCTGGTCTCAAATAAGGATTTGAAGTTTGACCATAAAATGGAAGAACATTAACATAGCCAGGCGATCAAATGAATACGATGCCATATTTAATTAAAGCTTAGTGTAGTCAAAGTATAGACATTTTAGAAAATGGTTTTTACTAGGCGCGCGGTTTTCTTCTATTATATGCTATACTGTCTATACTGTACGTACCTTTGTAGCTACGTTTGATATACTACCTTTGAGATTTTCTTGCAAAATTATTTGTAGCTCTCAAAATATCAGTATTCACATATGATTTTCACACACTTAGAGTTGAATATTATGTGATTAAATCATAAATGAAAAGAACTCTGATCATCTCCTCACTCATCAAAATTACGAAATGGCAAGTAGTCTTTTTAGAATAGATAAAATGTTCGTGAACTTTAATGTAGAAACATTGCTCTACCTTTCATAGTGTATAAAAGTTTGTTTTGTGTTAAAGTTTTTTCTTTTATGTTATTACTGCAACAACAAACAATAAAAATTATCAGCAGTATGTTTGTACGTGACAATGATAACTGTATGAATAGATACTAGAGATTTATGTTCTTCGTCTTCAACTAATTTTTTCCTCATTTTTCTAATTTGGAATGCAATACAGAACAAAAAAACATCCTTAAAGGTATCCAAAATCCATCCTGTACAGCAGCAATAGCAGGATCTTATTACTTAATATTGTGTTTGCATGAGAAAAAAAAATGAAATAGACGAATTGATATCTTCTTGCAAAGCATGTTTACGTTTTCTAGAGCAAAATGTATACGTACAGTGCAAGCTTGATGTACTATTATATGAAATTGTCAGCAGGGAACGGGAGCTGTCAATCCGAAAGATTATTTTAAAGAAATGAGAGTCTTAGATTCTACTTTTATAAGTGATGTTCAACACGACTCCGACGAATTGCTGCAAAAGTTGTTTCATAAACTTATTGAAGATTTGTGCCAAATGCAAACAACATGCTGAAAAAATCCCATCTAATCCTTCTGATTTACTTCAACATTCCCATATCGACAAACCCTGTCAAGTGACCTTGCAAGGTCTTGTATGATCTTAAAAGGTCATGCAATATCATATCACAAGATTTCGTATGAGCCTACAAGATCTTGCCAAAACTGTACAAGATCTTACAAGATTTCATATAAATCAGTCTTCCTGATTCCACATAAGCTTTTTCTTATAACCAGATTTTACAAGATCCTGCAAGAACGTGTGATAGGATCTTGTGTGATTCTGCAAGAAGTGACAAGATTTCATCAGATCACGTAAAAATTCGTCAGC